GTACACTTTAAATAGATACATTGTATGGTATGTGAATTATAGCCCAATAAAGCTGTTTTTTTTTAACAGAAAGTGATAGTTGAAAGAGAACCAAGTAGAATTATAGAAATAAAAAAATATTGAAATTTAAAACTCAATGGGCAGATTAATTACACAGGAATTTGACACAGCCAAAGAAAGAATGAGTGATGCAGAGGATGATTCTGGAAAAATTATCCAGAATGCAACACAGTAAGATAAAGATGTGCAAAATATCAAAGAGAAGTCTGATTTCTATACCCAGGTAAACTATCAGTCAGTAGAGAGAGCCCTTTTAAAACTCCAGCTCTGATTTCATTACAAAATTAAGTGTTCATTGGCATAAGATACAAACAATAAACTATTAAAATGTCGGTTCTGAATAGCATGTCAACACTACAAAACAACATTTTCACAGTACTTGTTAGTAATTCAGGAACAGTAGAGAAGATGGATTAAGATTTGAGCTTTCTTAAATTTGAACAAAGTTGAAAAAATTGAGCAAAGTTGAAAAGCAGAAGTGGTTCAAATGCCATTGAAGTGACAAAATTGGCTTTCACATGTATTTTATGGAATCATTGAAAGCTTCATGGTCATATAGCATTTAAAATATATTAATGTATTTTGCATTTAACTCTTATTCTTAGAAGGACTTACATGAAAGGTGAATAAGCCACTATACTTTAGAGCCATTATTTAGTGTTTTTTTTTTAACGTTTATTTATTTTTGAGAGACAGGTGTGAGCAGGGGAGGGGCAGAGAGAGAAGGAGACACAGAATCCGAAGCAGGCACCAGGCTCTGAGCTGTCAGCACAGAGCCTGACACAGGGCTCAAACACACAAACTGAGAAATTATGACCTGAACCAAAGTCGGAGGCTTAACCAACAGAGCCACCCAGGTGTCCCTAGTGTTTTCATAAATAGAATGAGTATTTAACTTTTCTTGAGTGCTAACATTCTCAGATTGTCCATACAACAGTGACTGGATGTCTGCCATGCACTGCACATTGTAAAAAGTTCAGGAATTTTTCTCAAAATTTGTTTATGCCAATGCTTTGTTACCTTTTGGTATTTGGTGAATTGAATCTAATATCTGTATATTCTCACCAAGGACTTCAGACCCATCATCTGTTTTTGCAGTCTATTTTATCGTTTTTTGAAAGCTGGAAAAGCAAACCCCTGGCATAGTTGCTTTTTGTGAAATAAAGAGCCTCTTGACTACCTCATAAATGTATTTTCTTAGAACAGTTCTTGAGCACCTACTGTGTGCCAGGCACTGAGCCACCTGCAGAGAACCAGACAGGAGTCAGCCCTGCCCTCGTGATATTTGCATTCTAATGGGAGAATGGAGTGGAAAGAGACAATCAATAGAGAAATGAACAAGGAGAAGTTTAGCTAGTGTATTAGTTTCCAACAAATTACTACACATTTAGTGGCTCAAAACAACATGCATTTATTCTTTTACAGTTCTGGGGCAGAAGTGTGAGATGAGTTTCACAGGGCTGAGATCAAGGTGTCTGCAGAGGTAGTTCCTTCTGGAGGCTCCGATGGCAGGGTATGTATACTTGCCTTGCCAGCTCCTAGTGACCTCCTTGTTATTCCTTGGCTTGTGGCCCCTTCCTTGGTCTTCAAAATGCATCATGACAGGCTCTGCCTCTGTATCACCTCTCCTCCTCCCCCGACTTCTCCCATGTCCCTCTTATATGGACCTTTGTGACTACATCCAGTCCATCCAGATAATCCCAGATTATCCCCTCCTCTCAAAATCTTTGATCTCATTTGCAGAGTCTCTTTGCCATGTGAGTTAACATTCACAGTTTCCAAAGCTTGTACTTGGACAGCCTTGGGGAGCCATTCTCCAACCTACCATAGCAAGCGATAAGCACTATTAGAAAAGAACATGCCAAGGGGTGCCTGGGTGGCTCAGTCGGTTGAGCATCCGACTTGGGCTCAGGTCATGATCTCGTGGTTTGGGAGTTCAAGCCCCACATTGGGCTCTGTGCTGACAGCTTGGAGCCTGGAGCCTGCTTCGGATTCTGTGTCTCCCTCTCTCTCTGCCCCTCCCCTGCTCATGCTTTGTCTCTCTCTCTCTCTGTCAAAAATAAACAAACATTTAAAAAAAATTTTTTTTTAAAGAAAAGAACATGCCATGATAGAGAGGGTCTAAAATAACGTCTGCAGGTAGAGGGGTTAAGGAAGGCCCCTCTGAGGCTGCATCTAGGCTAAAATCCAAATTATGGGAAAATGCTGTGTGAGTGGGGGAAGCACATTCTGGGCTGAAGGAACAGCTTGTGAGAAACTCCATAGCAGAAGTGAACTTGGTGCCCTGGAGAAGGCAACGCACCTTGGACAGGGAGAAAGTTATAGAACAGCCAACGAGTCTCCAACTCACATTGCCTTTTCAGAATGGGAATACTTAAAGCCCCATCCTCCCTCTTGGCATTTCATATGGGAATTTGCCCCAAACTACTATCATATCGACAGAGACCTCTTGTGTCGCAAAGCAGAGTGGAATTCTCGTGTACGTCCTGGAGCATCCGGCAAGGCTGAGAGCCCCTTGTCAGCAAGTTCCGAAGAAAGTAAAACCTCAAAACAAGAGCCTGTTAGGAGTGTGGCTTTCAAAGTCTTAGTGATGTTGGCACCTGCGATTGCCTCTTACAAACTTTGTTAACATAAACAGGATTTTTACTTGTTTAAACTCAAGCAAAAGTTAAAAGAGGAAACCTTGGGTGCCTGCCCCTCGGGACCTGTGCAGGGCCCACCCTTCTTCAGGCCACTCGTGTTCTGGGTTGGGGGAGGGCCGCTGCAGGGCTTTCCCAGCAGATGGAAAACTGTTGGGCCAAGTGGCTTCTCCTCACCTTCTCCTGAGTCATTCCTTTCTATGGGTTTCACTTTCCTTGCCCAGAGCCTCAGGGAGTCTTAGTACAACTTCAAGTTCAGTTTCAAGTTTGCATGAAACCAACAAACGCACTTGAAGAGCCTAATACAACTGGCCTTTTGAAAGGTCTCCCACCTTTTCACACCAACAGCATCTTTGACTGTACCTCGACTACACCTTCCATTAGGGTCCTCCTTGAATTCTACTTCTTGCGTATGCATTAAGGGCTTCGGTCAAGGGCAGTTCATTTTGCGTTCCTGCATCCACACCTCCCAGCAGAGCGCCTGGCATGGAGCAGATAATCAATACTCATACTCTTGTTCAGCAAACAACTACCAGGCATCTATATGCTAACTACTAAGCTGAGAGCTGAATGGCACTATTCTTAATGTCTGTACAGACCAAGAAGACTTCTAAAGGAGCAGGATGGTCCCAACCAGGAAATTATTTCCATAAAGGAGAGTTAAATATAACAGAATATCTGTTTGTAGATTTGCATACAGTCATGAACCTGGTCCTTTGATCAAATATCAACCTTGGCAATCAAATCAGGCCATCTGAGATGCTTGCCAGTTTTAAGGTGGTTTGTTAATCTCTGTCTTTTCTGACTCTGAGCTACACTGCTGAGCTGTGGGGTGTTAAAGGTTAAGCCTCTGCTCTCTTTTCCAGCTCCTCGGTTGACTGACTGCCCTGCAGCAGAGAGTGAAATGACCCCATTCATCAGAAAGCACAAAGTCTTAGTTCTAAGACAAAAGGAGACCTGCAAAGTTAAGTCAGGGATTTTCAAGTTTAAATGAAAACCAGCAGACATATGTGAGGAGCCTAATGCATAACGATGGTAATTATAAGGTCATGAGTTCACCTCAATATGGCAAATGAAACCCAATTGGCATATCTTATGAACCAAATGCTAGAGATCTCTTAAGGAAGGAGGCAGTCACTTCCACTGCCTGAAACCTAGGGCTGATGTGTTATTTCCCCCAACACCTGAGAACACATAATCTTTTGGTTCCCAAGCATGATGTTTTATAACTTGTAAAACCCGGTAACATTGTCCCAGAGTCCAAGTGGTTGTCTCTGTTCTAAGTCCAGCCACATTTCATTCTCTTGGTGTTCTCATCTGGGACACACAGTGCCTTCTTTGTGTACATTTCCAATTGAACTTTATCACAAGAGCGGTTTAGAAGCCTCATATCCTAACAGCTCATAAAAGATGCAATTGCACCCAAATGGAAGCTTTTGAAAACCAGAATAAGACCTCCTTGTTGGGAGGATGTCTCAGATATTAAGCCGTGGCTCCTGTCTGAAGAAGACTGTTCTGGATCCTCAGGGTCTGGACTGGAGCTGGGGTGGAGAAGAGGACAGGGAGCATCAGGAGCCACACACCTGCTCACTGTAAGTGCTGAAAGGAAGAGTTACCTCCACAACACCTCAGCTCACCGTGGCTCTCTAAATCCAGTAACGATCTCCTGAATAGCACGGCTATGTAACATTAAAGGTCGTTCTTGATGTAAAGTTTAAAAATGTACTGCCGTTTCTGCGACCATATCTTGGCATTCATTAAGTTTCTAATCCAACAGGAGCTTCCAAAACTGCAGGTGGCAGCCTCCTTCCTCCATCTATGAGAGCCCCTGCCTTGGGATCCCTCAGGTCTTTAGGGTCAGCGAGAGGGGTGCGCAGGAAGGGCGTCAAGCAGCGAAATCAATACAACTGGGGGACGTGGGTCCCCCTTCCCGCAGCCTCCAAGAGACAGCACGGAGGGGCGCCCGCGGAAAGCGTGGGTCTTGGGGCCTCACCGTCCCCCCTGCGGGCTCTGTCCAAGTAGAACAGCATCGCGAGGTACCGATGCCTCGCGGGATCCGGGCGGCCGCGAGTCAGGAGCTCTCCACGGGCAGCAACGAGGCAAAGGGTGGCCGCCCCTCCTCCGGCGCTTCAGGTGGGGCCGCCCCGCCCTCTCGGCCCAGCTCGCCTCCGCCCCGCCCCCCCAGGCCACGCTGCCCCGCCCCCCCGGCTCGGCCCGCCTCCTCCCCGTCCCTCCACTCGTCCGCCTCAGGTGGAGCCGCCCCGCCCACTCCGGCCCCGCCTACCCCTCCCGCCTCAGGTGGGGCCACCCTGCCAGCTCGCCTCGCCTCGCCCCGCCGCGTCAGGCCGCGTCTCCTCAGTTCTTCACGGGCTGCGGCGGCGGCGGCGGCGGCGCCGCTACAACTTTTGACATTTTGGCGGCGGAGGAGCGCGCCGGCACTGCGGGACCGACGGCTGTGGCAGCGGCCGACCTTCGAGGGCCCCTCAGCCGCACCGGCGCTCCCGCCGCCCAGGGTCGGGCGGCCACGAGGTCCCGCCGCGTCGTCCCGCGTCGCCCCGCCGGGCGGCTGCAGCCATGTCGCGGGGGCCGGAGGAGGTGAACCGGCTCACGGAGAACACCTACCGGGTAAGCGGGTCCAGGACGGTCCCGGGGCCTCGCCGTTCGAGGGCGGGAAGCCCGGGGCCCGGGAAGGCACGGGCTGGGAGCTCGAGGCCGGGGAAGCGGGGAGGCCCCGCGGCGGCTCGCGGTCGTCGCCCGGGGAAAGGTCGGGGCGAGGAGGGGACTTGACGCGGGAACACCCTCCCCCTCCCGGCGCTGTGACGCCCTGCTAGCCACACGTTTCACAGCCAGACGTGGGGGTGAGGGGAGAGTGTCCCGCCCCTGGGGGGCCGCTGCGCCCGGGCTCTCGGGGGCCCGGGAGCAGCGCCACTTTCCTGCCTGCGAGGAGGTGGGCGAGCGGCGCGCTGTGCTCGGGCCGCGCCAGGTGCGTCCGGGGGGCGCCGCGGGCTCGGGGACCCTGCCTCGCGCGGCGCCGCATTCCGCTGGGCGATTGTCCCGGGAGGCGACCGGGGTCCCAGGACCCCTCCCCCCGGCCGCCCCCGAGGTTCTAATGAAAATGGACCTTACCTGAAGGAATGCGTTGACGGTCACGCTCTTAACTTGTCTTTATTATGAAAGCGTTTTTTTTTCCCAGAAGCAGACACAGATTTGGGATTAGTGGCCAGTTTAGTACGTTTAAGTGCTTGTAAAAGAATTCCAGTTGAAATAAGATACGTGCTTAATCATCTGCTATTAATAGACTACCAAACAACTTCTGTTTTAATTCAAAATTCAAGTTCTCTAAATTCATTTGTAGCCATTTTTAAGGCCCAACTTTTGGTCACTTTTATAGACTTTTTTTTTTTTTAGCCCTAAAATTTAGTCTCTAGGGTTGAAAGGTCTGAGTGAATTCTTGAAATCAGAGGAGTTCATTGACTTTTATAGGAAAGGAATAAAGAAGAGTGAAAATATAGTCGTCATCTGTCTTTTGAGTTCAAAATAATTGATTCCCTTCTTCTGAATACACAAATAGGTAACGTGAATTATATTTTCTAGAAAGTTATGCTAGACGCAGTGGACACAGCATTTTTGGTCTCAGTAGTAACTGTTTCCTTGACACAAGGCAGTTTTTAGAAATCGCAGAAACTTGAATGTTAACGTTTTACATTTGTATTGAGATTGTTAATATTTAAGTGATCCTGAAGGTGGTGGGGCTGGCAGTGTGGGGTATTGACGGTGCGTAAATAAAACATTCTTACTCTAAGACCCGCGGGATTGGAGCCACTCCTGCGAGCGTCAGTTAAGGAAAAACCCAGCGCAATTGAGGAATGCGGATCATTGCAGATATCAGGCAGTCTGAGTGTCCACTGGGGCACGAAAACACCGTGAACACCCAAGTTCCTATCTTCCTGCCTCCAGGAAGACAGGCACATAGATCTTTCCAATCTGGGATGAGAGATCAGTTTGAGACAGGCAATCAGATGCTCCGAAGTAACTCTGTTTTTTCTCCCACTTTTTCCTTTCACTTTTAGCAATGACTCAGTGGAGGGGCTGTGCTCAAGTGAGTTGTAGTGTCACAAATGCCAACCCCAGAGAACTGGGGCAGGATGCAAGAAGTTTGGATTTCATTGTTTGGGTGCTACATCTTTGTAGACATGAGGCAGTGTAAATCATTCTCATACTTTGAAAAGTTGTAATACCCTGAACATCAGAGACCAGTTACTTATGGCTTTCCATTCCCAAGTGTCTTAAAACACGTTGAAAGCTCACAAATGTTTGTTGATTGACTTTCTTAAAAAAAATTTTTTTTTTTAACATTTATTTATTTTCAAGAGACAGAGACAGAATGCGAGTCGGGGAGGGGCAGAGAGAGAGGGAGACACAGAATCTGAAGCAGGCTCCAGGCTTGGAGCTGCCAGCACCGAGCCCGATGAGGGGCTCGAACCCACCAACCGTGAGATCGTGCCCTGAACTGAAGCTGGATGCCCAGCTGACTGAGCCACCCAGGTGCCCCTGTTGATTGACTTTAATACCCATTTTTCCGTTAATGTTTTGGTGTCGTGTTTTTTATGTTGAATGGTGGTAAAAGAATTTACAGCTCCAGACAGCAAGTTTATATATAGTCTAGGAGGGGAATGCTGCTGGCTCATGCTTGGGCTATGGTGGAAATGCATAGTGAAATTTTACATTTGCAGGTCTGGTTGAAAGCCTGCAATCCTGCCCCACCTCCTCATTGAGTTCTTCCCCACGCCACCCCTGATGACCAACACTGAAAACAATTTAAGCTTAATATGGTAAAAATCTGGCAGTGTTGATGATTCTAGTTTTTTTTTTTGTTTTGTTTTTTTAAGAGATTTCCTTTACGTTACCTAACAATCTACACTGTTTAACTAATGGAAACATAACCTAACCAGGTGCAGTTACAAAAGCCACCTGCAAATGAGATTTAATGGCTTGCAGCTAGTATGGATTTTAGATTTTTTTTTTTTAAATACTCAAATTTCTCCAGCTTTGGAATAAAGGAATAAAATCTTTAGAGAAAGTGGGGGATTATAAAGTAGTGTGACTCTCTGTATGCAGTATTAAGTATCTTTCAGTATTTATTTACATATTTACTGGGTTTTCTAAAATGTATACTTAGACAAAAGATTATTCCAGACCTATGCTGAATCCCAGGAGGGTGTGTGTTTTACAACTTCACAAACAAATGGTATGATAATAAGCCCCAAAATGTCAAGCAAGGTTACTGTTGCTAATTAGAGTTCCCAAAGATCCCTCCCCTTCTCCACATAGTATGCCCATAATTTGCCCTCAGTGCTTGCTTGTGATTTTGTGTGATTTTCTGATGAGTACATGCTTTAGTGGTACCAGGAAGAAAATACATTTCAAAAAAAACCTTTAATTAATAGTAACCACAACCTTCCTAGAAGTTAGAACTGTTAAAGCAGTAGGAAGTTGAGGAGGGGTGGGTGTGATGTCATCCAGGGGTGTCATACCTGCATTAATCTTGCTAAGCAGCAGTGAAGGGGGGGAAGTGTTACTTAAAAAGAGGGTGGGAGGGAAGGGACACATAAGTCTTTGTTTAAATGTCCCGGTTCAGAGAGGCCTGCTCAAACCACTCTTTAAAATTGTAGACAACACCATCCGTCTCCCAATCCCACCTAACTTTACCTTTCCCATGAAGTGCTTACTACCTTAGGATATTCTACACAACATATTTATTTCATTCGTTTATCTCTCATCCCCCTCTAACTAAAATGTGAGCTCCCAAAGGAAAGCGCTTGGCTTTGTTATATTCTGAACACTTCTTGTCATGTAGTAGGCATGAGGGTTTGTTGATTATGTGAACATTTATTTGATTTACTTAGTAAACACCTATACTAGGCCCCCTACCCCCCTTGACACTTTCCATAAAGCATTTGTTTCATTTAAGTATACATCAGCCTTCGAGGTGGATATGGATTTTGTTTACTGTTAAGAAACTGAGGCTGACAGTCTAGGGGTGACCAGCATCCACATGCCATTTACCCAGCCAGCCTCCATTCCTCTCCTTTGGGTATAGTGGTTTAGTTTCTAGTGGCCAACAAACGCACAAATCAAATGCCTTTTCATAATTTGGTGACCTAAGATGTCACCAAAGTTTTCTGCCATTTTGTTCATCATCTTTGTTTTTAAAAAAAATTTTTTTAATTTATTTTTGAGAGACAGAGACAGAACGTGAGTTGGGGAGGGGCAGAGAGAAAGGGAGACACGGAATCCAAAGCAGGCTCCAGGCTCTGAGCTGGCAGCACAAAGCCCGATGTGGGGCTCGAACCCACAAACCTTGAGATCATGCCCTGAGCCCAAGTCAGATGCTTAATTGACTGAGCCACCCAGGTGCCGCTCATCATCTCTGTTTTGAATAAAAATTTGTTCAATAAGAAAATGAGGTTCTTTTATCAGGTGTATATACTAGGTTTTGTCTGTTTAATGGTTTTTTATTTTCTGGACTTGGGTTTAATTGGGACGTGTAAGTGAAAGTCCCTACCTGGTTGGCTTCCAGAGTGGCCTGTGGTGTATGGGTCTAGCTCATGTGTTTATTGCTGTAGTTATCTGTATACACTATTTGATATCTTCATCTGTTCCTGTAATGCTTTCTTCAGGTATGCTGAAGATAAAATGGGATTTGCAGGAGCCCAGACAGCTTGCTCTTGGCTCCATGATGACTATAAAAGTAGGCAGTAAGAATCAGGTGCCAGGTAGCAGCCGAAAGCGTTGCCAGGTGTCAGTATTAAACTGAACAGCCTGGTATTGTAGCTTTTTGTCCAGTGAAGTGAAAATACAAAGCCAAACCATGGTTGTCTTTTTTTGTCATAACATTTTTCCTGATTGGAAGGAGGTTTTAGAACTATATTAACATTATTGCTATGTAGACAGAGCAGTGTCCTTTATTATGAAGCTTGGAAGGCTGGGACCCTTGGCCAGGGGATGCCATTCACAAGTTTCAGGTTGCTTTTGAATTAAAATTTGTGACATTATGCCAGTATTGGGCATTAATTCTTGCTTGGCACTTCTGTTGTATTGAGCCACAGGCAGGCCTGCAGGGGAAACCTAATGTGCATGGAATGTCAACAAATTGGATTTTTGGTTTTATCACCAGTCCACATGGCTATTTATTCTGTAATTTAAAAGCAAAAATTATTGTAAAAGTTGTATAAACATTGATTTAACTTATCTGTTGACATTTGCAGGTATATTTTTTATTTCCTAAACTTTTTATTGAACTGTAATACATGTGTTGAAAGGTGTGCTTTGGTGTAAATAGCTCATAAAACCATCACGAAGTGAACACATGAGTATAACTAGCACCCAGATCAAGATGCAGACCATGCCCAGCCCCCCTTGAAGGCCCTTTCACGCCCCCTTCCCTCTGTGCTCCCTCCAAGATAACTTCCTTAACTTCTACCAGCACTGATTAGTTTAGCCCATTTTGTCTTCTTTCACCCAGTGTGTTTGTAAGATATGCCCATGGCGGAGTAATTGTAATTAGTTCATTCTTTTTACTGTGTAGTATTGCACTGTGTGAATGTATCAAGATTTATCTATTC